AAAACTTTCCTACGGAAAAGGGATGGATGTGTTAACGTCGATAGCTAAATAAGGCACAAAAGGTTGGAACCAAAACTCAAAAGAAAAACCAGAATAGCAGGGAAGAAATCTAACCCACATCTTTTCATCATTTTAACAAGGAGTTTGACATTCACACACTATTTTTTACTTTAAACACAATTCCTTGTTAATTTATGTTTTTTTATCTTCTTCAATTCATCGATCCTATGGCCGAAAATTAAAAATGTGTGTGAGAAGTAAAAAAAAATGTATGAATATCACACCCCTTTAACAAAAGGTAACACATAGAGAGTTCAACACAACCTGAGATACATTTATCATCATACTACGTCCTAATTATTTGTAAAGATAGCCAGTTTCACTCATATAATACCACCAACACCCTTCCAAATCTCAGACAAACTGGTTGAGGTAGTCGTCGACGGTGGTGTATTTGACATCGGGGTAAAGAGCTGTGGTTTCCACGCCAAATGACGGCTCGATCTCAAAGTTAGTGTGGTCTCCCTTCACAAAAGCTGAGTGACGAACTCCTAGCATCACATTGAGCGGCACCGCCGCCTCTGCAAAAATGACACAGAAATAAACCAACCAATTTTAAATTTAAAAAACTTCATTTTAATCTTTTTTGAGATTTAGACTACAATAAGATTAAAATCTTATTTTAGTCCATGATACATTTAATCTTTTCATTTATTAACTATACTTTGATGTTTTATTTCTTTTTTTTCTTTCTATTTTTAATGTATTAATTACATTTATTTTTTATTTTTCATTTCATTCATTATACTATATTTTAATGTCTACATTTAGGGGGGGTGTATTCAATTAGGATTCTGAAAGAGTTTCAGGGAATTAATAATTCCAGAGGTATTCAATTAGGAATTTAAAAGATTTTATAAAAATCTTGGCGTATTCAATTGAGATTCTTAGAGACTTCTTACAATTCCCTATAAATTTAGATGTATTCTATAGATTTAAATTCCCTGAAACTGTCTAAAAATCCTAATTGAATACATCCCCCCTTAGGTAAACTAATTTTTTTATATAAATATTCTGATACAAATTGTATAATCTTCATATAGGTACAATAATTCATTTGGTATATTTCATTATATCCAACGATATAAATATATAGGTACATTGCTTTAATATAATACATTTCGGTACATACATTTCAGTACATATATTTCCATACATTAACTCAATTTAATACATTTCGATACATATATATACATTTCTTACGTACATTTCGGTATTCACATTTAGGTACATTAATTCAATATAATACATTTTGATAAATAAATTTATATCCATTATAATATATGTCGGTACAAACATTTTAGTATAGTCATTTATGTACACTTATGTGCTTACCTATTTATGTGTCACTAATTTCTTTTAAAATTTTCTCATTTATGTTCATTTCTAATTTAAAGAACTAACATGTGTGAAGACATTAAATAAAATTTGTACACTTTACAAGATTAAATTGAATATGTAATCTAGCACTAGGTTTTTTTTCTTTTTTTTAAGAACTAATATTCATAAAACCCTTTTAAATTTATCTCCAAATGTTTTAAAATATCAAGAAAATTCAAATCAGTTATTCTCAGAATGACATTATTTGCCGCTAACCTTGGATGTTCTTGAGCAGTTGCTCCTCCGGGACATAGATTCTCTCGAGGGTTTTGCCAATCTTCTTCTCCCAGAGAGAGATAAGCTCATTGAATGAGATGGTGTTGGCAGGGGGACCTGATGTAGAGGATATTGTTTAAGGTTCTTGGGTCATCCACAGCCCTAATTGTGTACGTCCCAATGTCATCTTCCTTGTTGAAAATTGCTGCAATCCAAACAAAACAAAAACCTCATTACATTTTCGAAAACCCCATTACTATGCAGCAACTCAAAGAAATTCAACCCCATAACGAATACTCTTTTTTTTTCTTTTGACAAAGTAAAAGCTTCAAATTACTACTCAACGCAGAGGAGAAATCAAATTTAGATGCAAAAAAGGCATGCACACATCAAATTTACATGCAAGAAGGGCATAGTCTTGATCAACTGGCCTAACCCACGTATCAATTACTCATAGGTTGCTAAATAATTTACCAAAAGCCAAAGTGGATTCTGTGCAGTAACTGTAAATTGAAATAAAATCAAACCCTAGAAAATACATCTATTCAAAACCCATGGTTAAGTAGTTTGAGTTTTTACCTTTGGGATTTCCATCGCCCAAATGACGACTTTCTCCCTAAGAGGAGAAGAAGCTCCGAGCTGGTTCAAAGTAGTCAAGAAGTAACCAGCAAAGAAGTTGGAGGACACATAGGTGTAAGGAATCCCCTCAGCCTCCACAGCTCTGCGAATCTTGGCCTTGGTCTCAAACGCCAATTTGGCAGGCTCAACAGCGTGAACTCGATCAACGTCGTTTCCAAACTCTGACGGGAAAAATCTCTGCAACCCAATTCATACATTTGCAATCCCAATTTACAGAATTAAACTTTACAAAAAACAGAGTGTTGATACACAAAACCGGAGGGGTCTTGGAACAATGTAAATTCGACCGTGAATCTGCAAGAAAGTAAATAACACAAGATGTATCGTTGTTCACCCCAATGTTTGGGCTGCATCCACACTGATATTGTATTTCTCTGTTTGTGGGAGGATGAGAGGATGAGAGGATGAGAGCTTCTGAGGGTGAGAGAGCTCCTCCTTGATTGTGAGGGTGAGGAGTCCCTTTTATAGAATAAGGACTCCTCACTTATTACATATTTGCCCCTTCCTTTATTACATAATTACATTTGAGTCCCCCGAGTATTTATACGAGATCTAAATACGGAGGCCCTGTGTATGGTATAAACAGTAGTCCTCCAAGTCTTCAGTCAATAAAGTCTTTTGGCTGGAGACTTGAAATTCAGTCCATGTGTGGGCCGAAGTAACTAGATGTCGTCTAGAACTGAATACTCGATATGAGGCGGTGCTTAATGTGAAATGATGCTCAACTAGATGTAGCACATGTTGCGAGGCTGCTCGGCTTGTGGCTTATGTTGCCTTGCTTGGCTCGGCTTGCGGCGAGGCGGTTGCTCAGTAGGCGGCGATGTTCTCTAATGATGGTGAGGGAGTCCCTTTTATAGAATAAGGGCTCGCTCCTCAATACATAAATAATGGGCTAAGTCCCTCAAGTATTTTTCATGAGGCCCAGTTGAGGCCCAATATATGGTACATAATGTAAATATGTAATAAGTGAGGAGCCCTTATTCTGTAAAAGAGACTCATCACCCTCACAATCAGGGAGAAGCTCTCTCACCCTCAGAAGCTCTCACCCTCTCATCCTCCCACAAACAGAGAAATACATTATTAGTGTGGACGTAGCCCAAACATTGGGGTGAACCACGATACATCTTGTGTTATTTACTTTCTTGCAGATTCACGGTCGGATTTACGTTGTTCCAAGACCCTTCCGATTTTGTGCATCAACACAGAGTAACCCAAAAAAATTCAAAACTTTCACCTGAACATTGCCTGCTTCTTTGATGGCAGCGATAATCTTTCCCTGATCAGCCAACTGAGCATGCCCCACAGTCGAGATCACCACGTGGACTTGCTTGATAGCCTTCACCAAGCTCTTGTGATCGTACAGATCACCCTGCAAATTATATATATATATATAATATAAAAAAATAAAACACACACACACACACACAAATCAAGCAAAACTCAATTGGCTAATCGGATTAAAAAGCTAGAAAATGCTGGGGATTTTACAAACCAGGACGAAATTTACGCCCAAAGCCTTGAAGTTCTCAATGACTTTGGACTTTGCCGGGTTGGAGAGGGTAGCTTCTCGAACCAGAATGTAGGTGGGGTGCCCGACCTTGGCGCTGGCCTCGAAGATGAATTTTCCAATGTAGCCGATGCCGCCGATGAAGAGGATTTTGGACTTGGAAGCCATCGGGAATGGGAATCGAGGTAATCAGAATGGGATGAGTTGGAGAGAGAGAGTGCGAGTGAGAGTGTTGAGGGAGAGGAGGAATAATTGGGTGGCTGAGAAGTCCATTGACCATGATCAAATTGGCTTTTTTTTTGTCAAGTCAGATAAATTTTTCATTGTGACGGGAACACAGATAGTACATCACGTATTTTTATGTAAGTGGTGGGAAATATATTTTTTAAGTTATTAACTTTTTAACACACATATCTCACCATTTGTATAATGACACGTGATGTACCATCTCGCCTGCCGGTCACATTGAAAAATCTCTCCAAATGTTCAAATTGGCTTTGGTGGAATTGGATCCTCTCCTGAGCTTGGGCTCAAGAGCCTCCTAACCAATACACAAGGGCCATTAGATTTTGATCAAACGGCTACAATTATTATAATTTTTAGAGGACTTCCTGTTTGGAGCCGTTGGATTTTGATCCAACGGCCCTTGTGTGTTGATCAGGAGGCTCCTGAGCCCAAGCTCAGGAGAGGATCCAATTCTAGCTTTGGTTTATAGTGTCAGTATAATGCGTGAAATGATGAAAATGCCCTTGGATTGTGAATAGCCTTTCTAGTGAGGACGATTTATAGCATGACGTTGGTGTTTGCATCTGCATGATGCTGGGTTATTAGGTGGATGGGTGTCCGTCCGGTTTCCGAGATGTTTTTTTTATTTTTTATTTTTTGTTAGACGATGAATTTTGTTAATTTAGTTAATAATGGAGTTTGAATCAACGCCGTCATGCAAGAATTCAACATTTTTCCACTACTATAGTAAAAGACCATTTGCGTTCCGAGAAATATTTCGAGATTTAATTATATTATTTTACATGAGTGTTTACATTTATATTTGATTGTTAGAATACTTTGGTTCATATGAACCAACAAATGTACCACATTACATTGCATGGCCGTTTGTGGGTTTTCGATACTGCACAATTATATATGGGAAACAAAATGGCTGTTAAAAGATCCCTAAAAAATTTCTACTCCTTTTCAAACAGTTTTTCTAGAGCTAAACAGAAACCAACAATGAAGGCACATTCTAAGAAAGTATTGATGAAAACACATAATACACATACCTCCTTAAATCTTTCCTCCTTTTGCTCAGCCTGTATTTGGAATAGATTATGACTTAGGCATAAACTCATAAATCAGTGAAGAATGAAACCCAAAATTAAATTGCAGTTTCTTATATCCTTTTTCTAAGAATAGACAAACAAAATTGTTTCTTAAATGAACAATATGTATATAAGCAGGATTGTGCTTAATTTTCTCTAATTAAAGAAATGGTTTGCACAATTTTAGAACCTGATAACAAAACCATAACAAAAAAAAATTCCAGAGCCTGAAATGCCTTTTGAAAGCTCTGTCCTACTTCGAAAATCTACAAATGGAAAAATTGTGAGCCCAAATTAAAGCTTCTTTTCTCACTCATAAGAAAAATAGAGACTCTATATGGAAAATAATTGAAATTATGCATAATCAAAAGTGGATCAAAACTCTAAATAGATTCTCTTAACACGTAGGAGATCGTTGTTAGAATTCGGAAACAATTGAAACTTCATTTTAAACGCAAACTTAATCAATTGATTTATATTTAAATGGAACAAAATATCAGTCAGTTTTACCTATCTTTTGTTTAGTGTCGCTCAAATTCTCTCCTTGATTAAAAGCTCCAATTTTTACTTTCCTTCCATTCCCCTTCTGCATAACAGTTTAGTAGCTCTTGTTTACCTACAACAAATTGAAAACCATTTTGGGAAAATACTAAGCCTTTGGTTATTAGATTCTTTATAGGCAAAGAAAGAAAATTACACACAACAAAACTATTAAAACTTTAAAATCCAACTCCAAAATTAGGTTCTCTAACTGGCTAATGATCATATTGGATATAAATTATCATCCCTAATAGTACAATGCCTAAATTTTTTTTTTTTTGGACATTCTAGTGAACTTTGCCAATAGAAGTTCAAATGAGAAACAAAAAAGTGAGTGGCTAACCCAGAAAAGGTTAAATGAACTTTGCTAATAAAAGTTTTGAAGCAATTCATTTTCAGGAACAAAAATTTGAAAGAGAACACATGAAGGGGAAACCAACTTTAAATTTCATACTATTTGGCCAACTCCTTACCCATTTAAAATGCACCTAAGAAACAAAAGTCAGGACTACATAACACGACATAAACTTTTTCAAGTATATATGATCTTAATATGAGTCATACAACATACTATTAGTACCACCCTGTGTAACAACCCGTCCCTAATTTTATGGTTTTATTAATTTTAAAAGTGTAAAATTACGAAAATTCCTTTTGAGGAGAGATTGTTGACTTTTGTTGACCGTCTTTTCAGGACATGTGTGAGCTGTTATTTTACCATATTCTTGAAATACTCGACAGTATGAATGCATAGGCGTAAATAGAATTGAATTTCGAGTTACGATGAAGATTTTATGAAACTACGAAGTAGAAGGGCATTTTAGTAAATTCATTATTTCAGATATTGACCCTTACTATTTTATTATTTCCTTGTCCCCTTGTCCTCTCCTTCCCACTCTCCTGGACCCCCTCTCATTTGTCGCCACCTCATCACACTCTTTCTCTAATTCTCCCTGTCTCTCCCTCAGCTCTCTCGCTTATCTCTCTCTCTCTGCAAGTGCAGAGATATCCAACCACCGACACACTCCCCTCCGACGAGTTCTATCGACACCAATACACACCCATCAATTTTCTGGACGAGCCACTACTTGGAGGATATCACTAAACTCAGAAACATGTATGTAATTGAACCACCGTTAACGCCATTTTCTTCGGCGATTTATCGTCAATTTCCGATAAGGTGAATCTCGGAACACCTTTGATTTTTTTTTCCCATCTCACTATCCTAAGAATCATTCTTAGGTTAGATCTGTGTGTTGGTGATGATTTGGATGTAGAAAACACCCCTGGAAATTAACCAAGTTTTCCGGCGAGAGATCGGCGGCTTTGAGCCATTTTCCGGCCAACTCCGACCACAACCAAGGAAACCAAAGGTATATTTCGATTCCTTGTTCCTTGAACTTGAAATTGGTATATTAGATTGCTAGTTTTAGTTAAGTTTCAAAGCTAGGTGGAGTTGGAAAAGTTTCTCTGTCAAGATTCCCAAATTCCTACCCAAGCCCAAACTCGGATTCAAGCCTGGATTCGAACCAATCGACCCAAACCCATTTAGGAATTTGGAGGGAATATTCCGTTAACTTTCTAGTTAACTTTAACAAAATATTCCGTCTGAGGATGAAATTTTCCGTTAAAGTTAACTATTGACTTTTTCAAAATTTTCTCGGAAATCCTCCTAGGCCAATTTCAACACCCCAAGCTCGTTTTTGACATCCATTTAGTGTAATTCCAAAGTTTTAATGTAGTTGACCGCCGTGGCTGCTTGGTTGACCTTTTAGGATTGACCGTTGACATTTTCGTGGATTTTTTGCAAAATTTGATGGGGACCCTCCTTAGCATATTTCGACGCCCTGATTCCAAATCCACACTCTGTTTTTCCAAATTTAATATTCTTAGTGGAGTTTTACTAATGGGTCCCAATATTATGCTTAGATGCGATTACTATCGGAGACTCCGGCTATCCTAATTCGAATGGCTGCTATCCCGCAAGTATCTGTGAATGGGTCTTTACTTTTAAGTATTATATATTTATTTAGTTTCCATTTATACATTTGAAAAAGAATTCCTATGTATGCCTAGATTAGACTAATGTTTATAAGAATTAGCGAAATGACGGAATTTACGAAATTATTCCAAATCCTGTGAGATGCACAGATATGCATACTATTATGGGATGCTTTAATTATATTTGCAACCATGAATAGTGTTATGGTTGATTAGAATTATCGATTTACCATTATATGATCATAATTGTATTATCTGCTCATCGTGAGCTACACTGGTATTGTACTCGCCCGGACCAGGGCCAAATTTTCACGTATATGTTCACATTGCACTGTATGATCACTTCAGATCCATTGTAGGTGTCAGTCCTGTCTTAGATTGCTATAGGCAATTAGGACTCGTATGTGATGCGCATAGCGTCAGTCTTCACGTGATTGTAGTACTGAGCATAAATTGTCATTACACCCAGTCTCGTTCATGTCTGGATATCTCTACATGGACTTGTGTGTCAGCATGTGTCGATGAGCACTCGATATGACATGTTGTTTATGCGAGATTATGTGATATCGATCGTTATATGTTATTTACACATTTTGTGACATATTGAATTCTTGAGATATTGCAGGCTACGGTAAGTATTCTTATACAATATGTAGTATGTATATTTTGGAAACTATACTTGTTTTATGGCGAGGGGTTATTACGTTTTCAAAAAGGTTTTACAAAGTTTTATATTTAGGCCCACTCACTTTTTTTTTCGCCCCTCTAGGTTTTAGTGCTGAGCTTTCGTGTCGACGAGGATTCTTTGCAAATCTTGGTATAGGTGGTTACCTTTGATAGTATGATTCTCACCCTACTTTACTGTAATTTACTTCTGCTCTGACATCACGTGTGAAATGGGTTCATTCCCACTCACAAGTGCACTCTTCCATTTAGGCACTTTTAGGTTTAAATTTACTCACATGTTCCACACCTTTACAGTTTATGGCTTCGTCACCCTCTAGGTGTCAGCCAGCACCCCTCGATTCGGAGTCTAAGCGAACATTCCAGGTCGGGGTGTGCCAATTTGGTATCAGAGCATCAGTTTGGGCAATATTGCGTTCATCACATGCGTGATGCAAGCATTCTCAGTTCTTGAGCCTAATTTTTGAATCTTGCCACCTCGTCGAATACGAAAAATGTATTGGCTTTTTCTAAGTTTTGGGCATCTCAAACTACTTATCGATCTTCTAGAAGAACATTTTTGGCGACCGCCTCTAGACTTAAACAAACAACCTCGCTGCCAAGGAAAATCCCGATTTGGTATGAGTTAAACGCCCTGAAGCAGGGCTAATATATCAATAGTTGTGCACTACCGGAGAATTTCTCATCAATTCCACTACTATCCAATCATCTTTACCAACCCTTTCGAGATAGGAAACTAGAAATAATCTTGACTCCTTGACAGTACCCGTTAGAATACCACCTACTAGAATTCCTACAAAGTTTTACTTTTGTCAAAATTCAAAAAATATTTCGAGTGGCAATATGGTGCTATAGTGGTACATTCGATCGAAGAACATCTGGGGGACAATCACTTTTGGTCCCCGATAACACTAATCTTCTCAAACACACTAGTTATCATTCCTCATCTTCAAGAGGAAAATCGATTTCCGTTTAAGTCCATTCTAAGGTAAGTTATTAGCATATTTCTTTTTTGGGCCTTAGGACATTCCAATCGACACTAGTTCCCAGATTTTCTTTCGATGTTGTACTCATCATTTCGATAAGTATATGCTTGTGAGTATGAGATGTTATACCTTCAGGTTGCAAAAATCCCAAAAGCAGTAATCAATTTCTCCTAGAACTAATGAAACCATCTCATAGAACCAATTGCTTACTAGTTATCGGACACCATCCACCCGAACAGGATCTAACCTGTAATCAGCATACGGTGGCGCTACTAATTGACGATACTATTCGATATCCATAAATTATCAACCAGTATTCCGGTGGTATGATTTCTGATACCGGCCACATGCTAATATCTAGGAGTGATTGTGCTAGAATGCCGGTTCACAGTTTCAAGATAACGAACAATACCAAAATACCTTATATGCGTTAATTAGCAGCACAACTGATAGACTGATTTATGGTGACAACCTAAGCCAAAGAAATTAAAATCGTGGAAACTTAAGGGCAAGCCTTGTAGGAGGATAGTAAACTCGTTGTTGTTTTAACCACATTACCCATTTAGGTAATCCGAACATTATCGACCAGTCATCCCTGAGGTCACTTTCACAAACAAACATTAGAATTGGAGCACGAGTTAAGTTCCCGTTGTAAAAGAAAAATGAGTATTGAGAAAGTTACGAAAACCTGGTAGCACATGTCATAGAGAAAGGAAATAGTACTGTATGTTTCGAGGATGCATATCTTTGGCATCATTTCTCAAAATTTTACATAGGATACCACTGAAGCAGGAAGTAGAATGCACCATCAATCCACCTTGTTAACACTACACTTATTCTCCCTACCTCATACCGAACAACTCATTTGACATTGAGAAAACTTGGTTACAAAAGCTTACCGATTAGGAATTTAACCAAACACTTTATCTAGGGAACCTCAAACCTATTCGTGAAGGTGAAAGACTAAACCTTAGGATTGTACCTAAATTTTAGCAACTTAATTGGATGACGATTAAAACCGTTAACCCATACTTTGAATTGATGGTCTACCCGACAAACTTTTGGAACTCGAGTTTTCTTTCATAGCTTGTCGAATTCATAGTGGTCTTACCGATGACTTTCTCACTTACCCTAGCTTATCGAATTCATAGTGGTCTTACCGATGACTTTCTCACTTACCCTAGCAACAAGAGAAAATTTTCTAAACACCGACAATCCGCTTTATACCAAATTCCTCAAATATTACCTTTGTTTAGATTGGTACTTTTCTTAGGAGATGTGATCTCAGCAGATGACATTCTTGTCAATTTCCAAAAAGGTTGCAAATGTAGAAAAATTCGTATTCCACAAATTGTTGTGAAATATGCAATGTCCTTGGCCTTGTTGATTTTATTGGCAATTTGTTAGTGACTTTTCAGCAGTGGTATTTTTCCTTTCATGTTGGCCGAGGAAAATCAGTTTTGCTGAGACGTGGAATATTATTTAAGTTGTGACAACTGAGGTGTCGTCTATTTCCTACCCTTGTTCATACACCTTTTGATAACATCGAGAATTTTGAAATCCACAATTACGTTTCTTTGAATAATTTGGTTGTATGTAGTATGACGATGTATTGCTTATGTTTCCCACCGGTTGAAACCATATAAAGTGAACCAACTTACTCTTGACCTAGTGTCAACAATTACCATCTTTACTTGAAACCGAATGACACTTCTCTATGGCGAAGCATGTCCAAAATCTTTACCAATGTTAGACTTCTCAAATACATTTTCATTTGTAATGAGCTAAATTTCTGACAGCAGCGATGGAAGAACTAAATCAATGTCTACGATTGCACTATCGTGTATTACCCCGGTTGTGCAAACGTAATTATTGTTCACCGTAGTAAAAGATGAATCTACCTTTGAACACCTTCAGCCTGTCTTATCCTAATTCAGTTGGAATTCATGAGTATTGATATGACGTTACTTACGAATCCTTAAGAAATTGTTCGAGTGGTTATAATCACTTACTGTATTTGAATAGAGATGGGAAATATCACCATAAGCTCCCAGTACGAGGTATCTTGGACATGTGGAGATTATGATGATGTTTCAATGATTATAGATCGACTTGACAAATCAACTCACTTTCCGCTGGTCCAAATGGACTGTATTGTAGATCTCTTGGAAAAATTGCTCATTCTTGAATTTATCGGGTTTTCTGGCATTTCGATCAGCATCTACTCTGACCATGATTCCATATTCACTTTCTGTGCTAGAAAGCATTCTAGTTAACCTTAGGAACGTGCCTACCCTATTGCGCTTCGTATTATTCTTGAAACAGACAAACCGTCTAAGTGAAATGCTCGGACGTTGAAATTTAGTTGCGATCATTAATTCTTCAATCACCCAAAAAATAATCTATTGATCGAACCTTTACCGTTCCTGATATTCCAAAAGCTACAGCTGTAATGAGATATATGTATTTAATGCAGTTACGTTATACTCTAGATTTGATGGACTTGTTCTGACTCTCAAATTCTTGACTGTTCTTTTAGCTTCTCGACATAGTTTTTCGCAAAATCCAAGAGAAATTCAATATGAATATGCTCACTATGGCGTTGCGAACTGCATTGTTAGGCTACATGGTGTATGTGTCACTACTGTATCTCACTGTGATACGTGCTTCACTTCCAAGCCTTGAGAAGTCTTCTTGAAGGCTATGAGTACAAAGTTATTGTCGGATACCACACTTCACCCTTAGACTAATAGCCAATCTGAACGAACTATCCAAACCTTCATGGCATGTTGCGTTTATCCGTTCTATAGTTTTAGGATGATTGTAGTAAACACTTATATTTGTTAGAGTAGCGTGTAACGATGCTTATTATTCCAGTTTGGGTGTGATATCGTTTAAAGCGTTGTATAGAGATTTTATGCACAATACATAATTGACGGAAGAGTATTGCAAACAGGTATTTGAAGAATTGAATTTACAACGTAGCAAATTTGTGTGCTATTGACGTTATCACCCGATGGGGTAGTACGTGTACGCAATTGAGGCATTAACCGGACGATTTATGTGTATTTTCCAGTGAGGGGCATGATTATAATATTGCACCCTCGGGAATTATTTGCTTGCTTATCGTGACAAAAGTGAGTTGTCAGTATTGCGGGTTGCAAATTGTAATATCGATAACTTATTCGTTGGATTTGTTAAGCAAGCGGATAAGTAGGCCCGTCTACGTTAGTATTTTGATTTATTTATTTATCTATTGTTGGGCTTGACCCAAAAGATACTACACTTATTCTCAGAGTATGTGATGCTACGAATGCATAGGTGAAAATTTTTCAATTTTTAATTTTAATTTTGATACAATTATTTTAACTTTACCTTATTACATATGTATTTTGACGATATGTTACTATATATCTATTTTTAACTTTATGTTTTAATAAAGGATTTCATATTTAAGTATTTTACTAAAGGAGAACGAAAGTATGAGTTTGGAGTCACAAAAGAGGAATCATTGCAATCCTATCGCGACGGAATGACATTCTCTTTTATGCAATTGCCCTAACTTGATTTCTTCCTTATATATACATATATTTTTCTCCCTATCTTCTTTGAGTATTTTATGTATAACAAGTGATTTCAAATTTCGGGGATGAATTTTTTTTTAAGGTGGGTAGATTGTAACAACCCGTCCCTAATTTTACGGCTTTATTAATCTTAAAAGTATAAAATTACGAAAATACGCTTTGACGAGAGATTGTTGACTTTCGTTGACCGTCTTTTCGTGACGTGTGTGAGCTGTTATTTTACCATATTCTCGAAATACTCGACGGTACGAACGCGTAGGCTCGAGCGGAATCGAATTTGGAGTTACGATGAAGATTTTATGACCTCCTCTCAGGTCCTCCTTGTCTCCATGTCCTCTCCTTCCCACTCTCCCGAACCCTCTCTCATTTGTCGCCACCTCATTACACTCTCTCTTTCTCTAACTTTCCCCGTCTCTCCCTCAGCTCTCTCGCTTGCCTCTCTCTACAAGTATAGAGATATCCAACCACCGACACACTCCCACTTCGACGAGCTTCGTCGACACCAACACACACCTACCAATTTTCTGGACGAGCCACTACTTAGAGGATATCACTAAACTAAAAAACGTGTGTGGAATTGAACCACCATCGATGCCATTTTCTCCAGCGATTTATCGTCAATTTCCGGTAAGGTGAATCTTGGAAAACCCTTGATTTTTTTCCCATCTCGCTATCCTAAGTCTGATTCTTAGGTTATATCTGTGTGTTGGTGATGATTTGGACGCAGAAAACACCCCTGGAAATTAACCCAGTTTTCTGGTGAGAGATCCAGCGACTTTGAGCCATTTTTCGGCCAACTCTAGCCACGACCGAGGAAACCAAAAGTATATTTCGATTCCTTTTTCCTTGAGCTTCAAATTGGTATATTAGATTGCTAGTTTTAGTTGAGTTTCAAAGCTAGGTGGAGCTGGAAAAGTTTCCCGACCAAGATTCCCAAATTCTGACGGATGTAGCGGCAACCGGCATGAGAAGAAGAATAAGAGAAAAAAAAAAAAAAAAGGCCCAAGCCCTAACCCGAATTCAAGCATGGATCCAAATCAGATTCAAGCCAAGATATGAGTTGGATCCAATCTCGAATCCGAACCAACCGACCCAGACCCATTTAGAAATTTGAAGGGAATATTCTAGGAATATTCTGTTAACAATATTTCATCTGAGGATGAAATATTCCGTTAAAGTTAACTGTTGACTTTGGTTGACTTTTTCAAAATTTTCTTAGAAACCCTCCTTCAAAATTTTGTTAGAAACCCTCCTAGGCCAATTTCGACACCCCGAGTCCGTTTTTTACATCCATTTAGTGTAATTCCAAAGTTTTAACGTAGCTAAATGCCAGGACGGCTCGGCTGACCTTTTAAGGTTGACCATTGAGTTTTTGTAAAATATGTCGGGAACCCTCCTTAGCGTATTTCGACACCCTAATTCCAAATCCACTCTTCGTTTTTCCAAATTTAATGTTCTTAGTGGAGTTTTACTAATGGGTCTCAATATTATGCTTAGATGCGATTACTATTGGAGACTCTGACTATCCTAGTTCGAACGGCTGCTACCTCACAAGTATCTATGAATGGGTCTTTACTTATAAGTATTATATATTTATTTAGTTTCCATTTATACATTTGAAAAAAAATTTCATACGTATGCCTAGATTAGACTAATGTTTATAAGAATTAGCAAAATGACAGAATTTACGAAATTATTCCAAATCCAACGGGATGCACAGGTATGCATACTATTATGGGATGCTTTAATTATATTTGCGGCCATGAATAGTGTTAGGATTGATTAGAATTATCAATTTACCATTATATGATCATAATTGTATTATCTGCTCATCGCGTGCTGCACTAGTATTGTACTCGCGCGAATCAGGACCAATCTTTCACTGTGTATGTTCACATCGCACCGTACGTTCACTTTGAATCCATTGTAGGTACTAGTCCTATCCTAGCTTGCTATAGGTAATTAGGACTCGCATGTGATTCGTATAACGCCAATCTTCACGTGGTTATAGCACTTGAGCGTAAATCATCATTACACCCAATCTCAGTCATGTCAAAATATCTCTGCATGAACTTATGTGTCAACATGTATCAATGAGCACTCGATATGACATGTTTATGCGAGATTACACGATCTCAGTCATATGTTATTTACGCATTTTGTGACGTATTGAATTCTTGAGATATTGTAGACTACGGTAAGTATTCTTAGACTATACGTACTATATATATTTTGAAAAATATACTTGTTTTACAGCGAGAGTTTATTAGGTTTTGAAAAGATTATACAAAGTTTTGCCTTTAGGCCCGCTCACCTTTGTTTTTCACCCCTCCAGATTTTAGTGCTGAGCTTTCGTGTCGATGATAATTCTTAGCAAATCTTGGTATAGGTGATTACCTTTGATGGTATGATTCTCACCCTATTTTACGGTATTTTACTTATGCTTTGACATCACATGTGAAATGGGTTGAAGTGTGTCACCCTGTATAGAATTTTCAATACATGTCTACTCAAGAGAACATGGAAGTCAGATTTATTGATACATAATAAAAGAAATTCCTTATGCATTAGAAACAATTTCAAATGAGAAGCTCACTCTGGAGACTGAAAGTAACATGCTCAGGTTCACCACCATATTCACTTTTTCCTTCTCCATGCACTTAAATTCTTCCTCAACCTTTAAGAAGTCATTGTGCAGTTTGCTATTGCACTGTTGCAACCTTGCCCTGCTCAGGAAAACACAAAAGTAAGATTTATAGATACATAATAAGAGAAATTCCTTATGTAATTAGCAACAATTCCAAATAAGAAGCTCGCTCTAGAGACTGAAAGTTGACTCCTTAACATGCTCAGATTCTCCACCGTATTAACTTTTTCCTCCTCCACGAACTTAAATTTTTCGTCAACTGTTAAAAAGTCGTCGTGATGCTTACTACTGTACTGTTGCAAGCTTGCAATGTATTCTTGTGATCGTTTGCACATATCATTCAGTGAAGTTATCTGCAGAGCTCTGAAAAAAATAATTTTCAGATTAAAGCATTTGTAAAGAAACTCCGTACCTGCCATGGAAGCAAAAGAAGGAAAAGAATGCATATTCTACTTTACCTTCTGAATAACACTTGAAAGCTCATTTTGAACTCTCCTGTGCTCTGTAGCCTGGTACACATATTAAATCATTTAATAATCTAGAGAAATTAACCAAACTCACCCACATTGAATGTCAAACCCACCTACAACCAAAATGCTTATGGATCTCTTCAGCTGTTCTAGGGTTTCTTCACTCCTGTAACATAATGCAAAAATACCCACATCAATACTACCTAAGCTCTGTAATTCGTATGGAAAACTTGTATATAACCAACCTACTCTTTTCAAAAGGAATTCGGTGTAATAAAAAAGAAAAATAAAAAAAATAAAAAGAAAAACAACAACAACAACTTACTATTTCTTATGACTAATTCCAATTGCCCTTTAGGCTCCCTAGCTTTTGAACCTCCATGGTCACACTCACGAATCCACAACCATGAAACCAAAGTCATTACTTTGGCAAATAAACATAACCAAAAACAAAAACAACTAAATTTTTCAAATGGGTTTATCCCCAAAATTACCAGCCGAGTTGCTGAAAACTGTGATATGGGGTCCGAAAACCAATTTGCACTGCTCCAACGAAGACCCAAGAGGAACCACAATTTGATTCCAATTAACAAAGAAGCAAAAACAATAAATAATGGGTATATACCTGTAAAAGAGTGACCTGTGCTGAGAGGGTGGTTGCCTCAGTCTGAAGCTTCAGCAGCATTCTCTCCAGCTCATTCGTATACCTCACTTTTCTCTCCTACCTCACAGCTGATTGCCTATTAGCTAAATCCTACAAAACCAAAAAATTGAAAAACCACAATTGCTCATTCAATATAATAATAATATCAGTGTTTTAAAGAACTCGCCTCGGGGCGCGCCTAGGGCGCCCTTGAGGCTGGGCGCCATGACAAACGCCTCAGTTTTGCTGGAGTGGGCGAAAGGCTTCGCCGGAGCCGCCTAGGCACCGCCTCAGCCGCCTAGGCGCCGCCTCAGCCGCCTAGGCGGCGCCCAGTGGGTTTTTTTTTTTTTTTTTTTTTTTTTTTTTTTTTTTTTACTCCCAAACCCAAATTTTGGGCAGGATTTTATATAATTGATGTGTGTGCTGTCTACGTGCATTGTTATATGTGTGCTCATTATGCTTTTCATCCTCTATTTTATACATACATAATATAATATATGTATATATATGTGTGTATATATATATTTATAATATATGTGTGTGCTCAGGTGATTATTGATTAATAATCTCTCTTTTTAATATAATATATGTGTATGCTCAGTGTATATATTAAAAAATTTAGGTCCCGTGAGGCTTCGCCTCACGCCTCACGCCTCACGCCTTACGCCTAGGCCAGGCTTCCCCTCGGACGCCTCGCCCACGCCTCACGCTTTTAATACATTGAATAATATCCACAAAAATAACCCAAAAATTCAAGACAAACACACACAAGTACAAATAAAAATTAGAAAGTGTTACCCTTCCCAACACAAACTTCAACCACAAAAATTTGCTAGATAGACCAAAAGAAATTCCCAAAATTTAAGCAAATGCAATTTCTAAAGATTTTGCAGAACAGAAGGCCAATTTCCCCCAGTTTAATTTTCATAATTACAAAATAATTGCAAGCAATTTAATCAACAGTAGTAGAGCAGAAAAACCTAAAAACAACAGAAAGAAAACCTCAAAATCTTAGTAAAATGAAGAACAAAAATCACTAATCACAACCAAAATTAATAAAAATAATAAACTAGTATGCATGAAAGACAGAAATAATCAGTGAGAGGGAGGAAATCGATTTCTGAAGGAGCTCTTTCGTTCGAATCCAAGTCGAGCATGAAGGAAAAGGTGGAGGAGGAAACTCCAAACCTTGAGAACTTGGTCTTCTGGGAAGCGAGTCGAGGAGCACAACCAAGCTTGAGAGAACTAAGAGCGAGACAGGGTGAGTTTGAGAGCAACAGAAGAGAGATTTGTGAGAGAAGTGGAAACAAAATGAAAAATCGAGAAGATATGTTCAAAATATAGGGTCGGTCGATGATCGACGCGTGGATCAAATGGGCAAAACAGCCATTTGACTGTACAAATGAGGAAACAGCAAAGGAAAACGGAGGAAAAACAGAGGGGCAAAACAGTCCACCCACTGGTCATCAACAGTACCCCTGAAACTGAGTTTTAGTATATAGGACTAGAATTTGTACCTGAGCGTTGTTGCGGGATTCAAAACTATATGAAAGATTATGCAATTTCAATCTTCATAAACAATGTTTGAGTCAAAAACTGAGTTACATTGCCAATGCAAATTATACACAACCTCATCATGAATGAAACAAATTTAAATTTCAAAAGAGAAACCTATTTCGTCTATTAAAAATATTACAAAGTTCTTTGGATACGAAAAAACACAAATTGCTTCCTATCTAAAAACATTAATGAGAAATGTTGTTTCCTGCAACACTAAAAGTTGTCCTCTGCTATGTTGGTCATTAAGAAAGCATCCTAGGCAAGGGGAAAAAAATTGAAATAAATTTATAAACAGTAGAATTATATCATGAACAAAATAAGGATAAAGCGTGTTTACCTAGTGTTTTTGTGTGCAGAAAAAAGTCTGATTTGCATGAAATGGAGATGACCTTCTCTGGCAATTCTATAGGACGCGATCAAACTTTTGTGCGTTTTCAACTTGCCTTGCAACCAAGTTTCTACAAAAACAGATCGAATTCGAGAAAGTAATTAGACCAAGGCATAATATAAGAAAAAGTATAGAAAATATAAACCACATATACCACTTATTATACTACTTTGTATTCCGAATACACCTGAAAATATATCGATTTCTAGTGAATAGTTCGGTTCCAATTAATTCCACTTTAGTTTCTTTCAAACCCTTCAACTTATCCTTGACTTTTTTTAACGGCATTATAATTAAGAGTTAGTTTCCATCAAATCCTTCAACCAATCCCACCAATACCTGTCTAACCCTTCATAATCCCAATTTTACTCTCTTAAACCCTCTAACCTAACCTTGACTTTGTTTTTACAGCTCTTTCATTTAAAAGCTTATTTTCTCTACAAAATCATAATAGTTTCTGTCTTACATCACATTTTAAACTCTTGATAACATTAATTTCCATCTCAAATCAGAATGAACCTCCAACGTTAGAAATATGAGTAAAAAAATTGTTTACTAAAAGAATTTGCCAATTCTAATTAACAACTGTTAATCAAACTGTAAAAGCAACATATGAGTTTTTCCAACTTCAACCATAGAACCAACAGCGAGAATCCAATTGGAAATGGAATAGACCAAACAGACCATGAAGATTACACAATCAGAAGATGATATATTTGAAGGAGAAGAGTTCATTGCATAGTATGATGACAGCCGATCAACAGCAGAAACTGAGAAGAGCGAAGAACTTGGCCTCAGATTTTCTCCAGAATAATTGAAAAAATAAATAAACTTAACATGTAGGAATGATGCTGTTATTTTCTCCAAACAATAAGCATCATCTCTTAAAATATTAAAAATAATTTATGTGCATTTCATTCATATTTCTATTCACATCATAAACGTAAATCTCAAAACACAACTCATGAAACAACTTTTCTTACTAAACCCTAGAACACATTTTAAAATTTTTAAAATAGTTCTCATTTTTTGTTTTTTATATACTTATCCACACTAATGACCGAGCAATCTAGCGAAGATCACAAAAAGTGACCGTTTTCACTACCTAGGATCTATCTTGCAAGAGAACGGAGAATTAGATGGAGATCTCAACCATAGAATACAAGCTGGATGGATGAAGTGTAAGAGTGCATCCGGCGTGTTGTGTGACCGTCGTAGGCCACTGAAGCTCAAGGGAAAATTTTATAGGACGGCAATAAGGCCAGCGATGTTGTATGGCACAGAATGTTGGGCGGTGAAGCATCAACGTACACAAAATGGGTGTAGCGGAGATGAGGATGCTTCGTGGGATGTATGGGCACACGAGAAAGGATAAGATTGGGAATTAGGATATCCGAGGTAAAGTAGGAGTAGCCAAAATTGAAGGAAATATGAGAGAAAATCGGTTCCGGTGGTTTGGACATGTGCAAAGAAGGCCTACTGACGCTCCGGTTCGAAAATGTGACTACGGGACAGAGGTTCGGGGCCGAAGGAGTAGAGGAAGACCTAGGAAAACTTTGGAAGAGACCCTAAGAAAAGACTTGAGTACTTGGATCTAACGGAGGACATGACACAAATGAGCGCAATGGCGTTCTAGGATTCATATAGCCGACCCCACTTAGTGGGAAAAGGCTTTGTTGTTGTTGTTGTTGTTGTTATAAATTTTCACATCAATCTTTAGAAAGTAATTTTTTATATAATTATTTAAAATATGCTGTATAAAACATACTTATTGCTTCCACTTAAGAAAACTGAAAACACAAAATGAATTAAACTCGGAGATTAAAGTAAGTTCCCTTACCAAATAACTGAAGCCAAATTGACACAGAAGCATATCAACGTTGCATCGTCACAGGTACACCATTAGCAACGTTGCTTTACTGATTCAAACATAAACATGAATGAATTAAAAGCGTTAAAAAATGAAATAACACTTCAATTCTTTGCTAAATTCATTCATGCGTTTCTTAAATTTAATTCAGCTTATAAATTTTCACATCAATCTTTAGAAAGTAATTTTTTATGTAATTATTTAAAATATGCCGTATAAAACATACTTATTGCTTCCACTTAAGAAAACTGATAACATAAAATGAATTAAACCTCGAAGTAGTTCTCCTAATGAATTTTCAAAACAACGATACAGTACAGAAGAGAAGATTGACCAAATGAAAGTACAAAACCGTATGTCTGCTGAACTGGTTCCCAACTTAATGCTTAGTTTTATGTTGCATGTAGACTTCTCTACATTGGGATATACATATGTACATAATAATTATATATACACACACACACACATATGTAAATACTTATAGCAGGGAAGAAACTAACACAATAATATAGCAATTGCTAGGAAAATGACAGATGTACATATTTTACTGAGAGAATATGATGAAAGAGGATTCTTTTATCGATCAGCGACATTCTGCTTATTCCGTAGAATTAGAACGTCGGAAATGAATCCGAGGTAAGGAAATATAGTAGTGGCGAATCCAAGATCAGCGGCCTCGGAGAGTTAGTTCGAGCGCATATTCGGATATCCAAGAATGGGACCTGCAGGGGGGGTGTTTGTGAAAAAAAAAACACATTTGTGAAAAAAATACAGGGAAGAAGAAATCAAAACTAAAACCAGAAAATACAGAACAATCAAAACAAAAACCCACACAAAAATGAAGAAAGTCAGAGAATCCAGAGCAAGATTAGAATTTGGAAGAAACCCCATTTGAGAAAAACCCGCAAAGATGAACAAAAGTAGCATCAAGATTAAAAGCAGAGCAATCAGAACAAAACCCATATGAGAAATAGCCACAAAGATGAAGAAAAAAAGAATCTTGGGGTTTGGGATATACCTGAATGAAGCAGTCATGGAAGAAGAGGCGCAGTACCTGAGCAGAGACATTCTTCTGGTGGGTGTAATCTGCGTCATCGTCGACCTCACAATGGTCTCAGTTTCTGGGCAAGTCTCGTTGTAGAAATCGTATTCAAGATCCAATTGACCTCCATCATTCATCTCCTCAATGACGAAATCTTGGCCGCCATCGGAAGAAGCCAGAGAAACCAGATTGACCAGTGGCTCTTGGGCGGAGGAGGAGGCGAAGAGAAGCAGGGAAACACGAAGGATTGATGCAGGGAGAAAAGCACAGAAATAGAGAGGAAGAGAAGGGGAAAAGCGACGGAAGAAAATGGAAGAGCACCTTCCCACAAAAATGTTACTTATTTGACAGCAATGCAATAGGGCAAAGTTGAAATAACAAAAAAGAAGCAGGGGTGAAAATGGAAGAACACTTGGATTTTAGTATGTATAAATAGAAAGCCTTTAAGGGAAAGGATTCTATTTTTAAAACAAAAAATATAGAGACCCCTCTTAATCGTTAGATTTGATTTTAATGAAATTTTTGTAGTTGAGATTCTATGGCCTATGATTTAATCTCAACCACAGAATTTCATTAAAGCCAGATCTAATGGTCAAAAAGATGTCCCTTTTTTTTTTAAATGAGAATCTCTTCTCTTAGAGGGCCTGTATATAAATACATGTACACATATCTATCTGTGCATTTATATATAAACACACATATAACACATAATTAAACTAATAGAATTTTATTCGTTCATCACAATAAAGTTACATCATCAAAATAACACAATAATACAATAATCAAATAGAGTCACTTAGTACTACGGTCTGATGACATTTCTCTTCACTTGGAAGTGAGAGATCTTAGGTTCGAATCTCGTGGATGGCGAATTCGATACCAAATTAGGTTGCTCATTGCATGGCTTAACCGAACTCCCCTTCCCCTACTCAAAAAAACAAAAATAAAAAAAAATAAAAAACCAAATAGAGAAAACAAAACAAATTAAACTCCTAAACCCAAATTAATTTCAACTCTTTAACACCTTTTTCTTAGTATTAGAATCATGCTATGGGGCATCAAACCAACTCCATTTTTATAAGGCTTGGATTTTTTCAGAGCCGTTGGGCATCACGCTTCTTTGGTTCCTTTAGGTACCATTTGGTACTTGGGACGGGACGGAACGGAGTGAGACGAAGCGTTCCGTCCCACGTTTGGTGCGTTCACAGGACAAATTTTGAGTGAATTTTCGTTCCGCCTTACCCCTTGGAATGACTTGTTCCACATCCGTGGAACACAAAATTATAACCTCTTCGTCTCCTTCTTCTTCCTCCTTGTTTCCATCCGAAGACATCTTTGCTCCCTCTTCGTTCCATCCCGTCATGTCCTGTCTCATCCCGTCTGCATACCAAATGATACCTTAGCTTTTGGGGTTGTAGAACCATATCCGCTCATCTTGATCACTAAAATCTGTTGTAACATACACTACTACATAATAGGGGTGGGCACGAGTAGGTTTGGGTCGGTTTTGGGCCAAAATTGAAACCAAATCGACCTAGTTGGTTAGGCCAAAATTACAAACCAAAACCAACCAAGCTGGGTCTAAAACCGATCAACCCAACAGTGATGGGTTGGTTTGGGTCGATTCTTGGTTTGTGTGTGTTGAACAAAAAAAAAAACATATGAAAAAATAGAGTCCATACAAATTGGGTCAAACTATATGGTAAAACAAAAATGTAATCTAGCCCAAAAAATGAGGATAGGCTTTACATACAAATACATCCAGGAATAATAAAATAAAATAAATAATTTATATTTTTTCCTACAAAAGGGGGGAAGTAACGTGCAAAAAACAGGTGCTCCCCCATTTTCTGCAACAAAAAGAAACGTGGAGTCAAAAAGGGGGGTTAACAGAAAGTGGCAGGAGGTCATGGCTTCCATCTCCCCCCATGTAACAAATTCTAGAGCCTTATTAGGATGCCTATAAATAGGCATCAGCTACAGCAAGAGAGAAGGACAAAAAAAAAGGAGGGTACTCTGCAGAAATTGAGAGACAGAAGAGTGCAGTGAAGACGATAGAGAAGGAGAGGCAAAGCAAGAGAGCAAAGGCAAAAGAGAAATAGAAGAAGAAAAAAAATAAAAAAGAAGATATCAAGTGTTACCCACAAGAACAAAGAGCAAGAAAAGCTACAAAGCATTTAAAGGTATAAATCTATCCTTCTAAATCTTTCTTTGTATGGTTTATCTCGGCTTTGCAGGAAAAAAAAAGCAATTTGTTTCTTCAACGTCTCCCATCCCCAGTCCCATGAATTTCTTCGGGGTGATCTAAACCACCCCGTGAAGTTCCAATCAATATAAGTGGTCCGTTTCCCGCCGCTGCTGTCAATCCTATGAATTTCTTCGAGGTGGTCTAAACCATCTCGTGAAGTTCCAACCAGGTCTAGGTGATCACTGCACTACGGCAACACCACCGCTCTTCAACCGTTGTCTCCATTAGTCATCTGGAAGAAGCCCAAGGGAAGTGCAGTTCATGATCCGAAGGTGATGAAACCAAAGGATATAGTTGGGCACGCCAGTCCAGACCATCAATAAATTTGATGAAGGCTTGAGTAAGAAGATGGTAGCGGTGTGAAATAGCTAAAGAAGGCAACATTGCAATAAACCGCCAATGTCAGACGGAAGCCCAAATAGAGACAGCAGCTGCGCCATGTCTTCACCATCATCGACACCCTGCAACTTGTGATATCCAACGGAGATTTCATCAAAACACAGTACCAAACCGTTTTCCCACAACCTCCTGCAGCCTCTTGGGTGTCTAAAGAAGTTTTCGACATCTCTCTTTCTCTTTTCAGAGATGCAACGAAGAAGAAGCCGTCGCTCTGCATGTTTGAACAAGTGGAGAACAAGAACCCAACATGCCCAGCTATGGTCCTGAAGCTTCTTTCGGTCGACGGGCCATGGTCGTCTTCAAAAGCTTTTAGCGTTCTTCATTAAGACTGTTTGTACCATACCTGACCAATCCCGAAACTACTGAGCATCGGTCAACGTTATACTGTCAAGGACCTAGAAGAGTTTCCCTCCAACCAGGAGGCCAATTAAAGTGCGACACGTGTCGACATCAGAAGCCAATCATAGCGCGACACATCTCAACATCAGAAGTCAATCACAACACGATACGTGTCAATGTCAGAATGAAACTAGAAACTCTCTTCTATAAATAAAGATCATTCTCTCACAATATTTCCTAATGTCATTTATACTAAATCATTCACTTGTACTCATTAAAGGAGAGCTTGAACCTATGTACTTGTGTAAACCTTTCACAATTAATGAGAACTCCTCTACTCCGTGGACGTAGCCAATCTGGGTGAACCACGTACATCTTGTGTTTGCTTCCCTGTCTCTATCCATTTACATACTTATCCACACTAATGACCGGAGCAATCTAGCGAAGGTCACAAAGTTAACACTTTCTGTTGTACCAAAGTCCTCACTAATTTTGTGCATCAACATTTGGCGCCGTATGTGGGAACGACACTTATTCCCATTCTCTTCAGCTTTGTCAAGCTGGTTTCCACCATTCGTACACTCTCTTTTGACCAGGCATCCCTCTCCAACATGGGGAGCGAAGGAAGCCACAGCACACAAAATGACACCCCTATTGCACCAAGTGCAAAGCAACGAAAGAATGAAGGAAAGAGGGTTACTCTTCAAGCTAAAGTCGATGAGCTAGAAGCTCAGAACAACAAGATAGCAATGAAGAATGAGGTCCTCCAGGAGCAGTATGAGAAGCTCTTTGAAACACTCCATGAAATTAGGCGTACTCAAACACACGAGCTCATTGCCCCTGTGGACATCAACCATCATCTAGGTGTTTTCCAACACGGAGGGTCACATTCCTTCAACATGGGTATCCCTGATGAAGAGCGAGCTAATCATCAAAACATTGATCAACATGAGACATCTCTCAACCCAGCTGCTTCAACCTGAAGCAAGAGAAGTGGAGGAAGACACCTCCTTGCAGAAGGGTTGGAAGGATCAAAAGCCGTTTATCGTGACTGCCGAGACTTCCTAAAGTAACGTTGAAAGAATCCCCTCCACATATGCTCGAAGATCAATGACCCAAGGGTTCCTAAAAGACTCGATCCCTTCCCACGACCTAGGTTAGCTGCCAATCTAGGGAAGGAACAACAGGTCCCAGAGGAACATGAAAGTACAGGGGACTTTGAAGTATTCCGACAGACTCGCCCTAGAAGTCAGTACGGCGAGTCCAAGGAAAAATTGCACGCCTTTGCTCAAACTTTCCTACTTCCAAGAGGCAATTGAGACTTACGAAAGAAAATACCAGTGGTACATGAGTCCACTCAGGATCCCCTTGTCCTACAGCTCCTTGAGGAAGTAAACAAGTTGAAGGCCGAACGTCAGGCTGAGATACCTGACTGGAACCAACCCAGGCCTGGCCCTCTCACAAGGAGGATCCTTGACACCCTCTTCAAGCGAAGACAAAACAAAAGCTTGGTTTACAACTATATACTCGAAGGGAGGACCCAATTGAAAACCTTAACCTCTTTGAGTCCACCATGGCATATCAGATGCACACCGACGAAGAGCGATGTCTTCTCTTCCCCTCCACCCTCTGGCGGAGCTCTAAACTGGTATTGCCGTCTTCCACCTAAGACAGTAGACTCATTTGAGGAATTGAGGAAACTGTTTGTCTCTCAACACATCTTCCAGACCGATCGCTTGCATTCTGCAGATGACTTGTACACTATTTGCCAGAAGCCGAACAAGTCACTACGAGAGTATGCTGGTCGTTTCAACCATGAGTATTCTCACTACGCTGAGGCAGATGACAAGACCACCTTCAAGGCCTTCACGGCAGGGCTACGTGATTGTTTCTTTAAGTACATGATCAATGCCAACACTTGGAAGACTTACTCTGAGGTGATGGCACAAACTTACAACCATGCCTCTGCCGAGGCAAGGACATATCAAGGGAAACCCCCCACAACCACCCCTTATCAGCAAGTAGGGAGTGGAAGCCAGATCAAACCAAATGAGAAGACCTCGACCTTCCAAACGGCAGCGGTGCCTCCCCCTGCCTTACTTAATACTTCGTCAAGTCAACAGACATATCAATCTCAAGGCAAAAGGAAAGATTTCTATCCTCACCAGTCTCATTTTAGTAAAAAGAGTAAAGGACACTACCGCGATAACCAATGGTATCGCCATGATAATCCCCAACCCTAGGCAGTCAACACAGTGGGTCAAGCACGTGTCAGGATAACCCCTACCCCAAGGTATGAGGCATACACACCTTTGAACGCCACATGCGTGGCCATTTAC